CCTAGAGGCAGCCCGAGCTGCTGGGTGTCGGCCCCCCGTGTTAAATGGTAAAGAGGAGAAGCAGAGAAGGCAGAGCCGTCCCTCCCAGCGGGGCCGTCCTTCTCGAGCCTGTGCCCTCCCGCACCTCCCAGACTCCAGCCTGGGTAAGCACCAGTTCAGCACCTCTAGTTACACGCTAGCGTTTAACAAAGAAAACCTCACCCTAAAACAAAACAGAAGAACCCACCCTCTGGGCCTGGATCGCCCCAATTCTCAGGAAGACCTTGCCCCACGTTGTAAGCATTAAGTCTGCTTGACGTTTCAAGTGATTCTGGGAATACTTGGAGCCTGACAGCCTCATGCCAGTAAAGAGGGGAAGCAGCAGGATGACAGAAATCATGTGAGACGGTGGCAGGTTCCCCCCAAACAACCCACCAAACACTTACTTGCATTCATTAGTTTCTGTAAAACAGTCACCAGATACACTCTTGTTGGCATTTAAGACTCGCTACATAATTTAGTGCTGAAGCCATGCTAATCACGCTAATTGCAACAGCTTAAAAAGTCTGATGGTGCATCATTTCTACCTCAATACACGCTAACAGCAGGTTTTTTTCTAAGGAAAAATGATAGAATGGCATTTTTATAAACAACTTCACAGAGCTACCTTTCACACCACCTACGATTCACCTGAAACTGAGGCACAGCTATGATCTCCATCTATTGTTAATTCTCTCTCAATCAAAACACACACACACACACACACACAAAGAGATTTATTGTTTGCAATAATTATGCTTACTTTACATATAAAATAGGAGTTCAGGTGTTTTCCATCATCATGTTTTGGTACTAAATATCTTAAATAGTTCAAACAGAATATTTTTTTATTTTAAACTGCATAATGTGGGATGACAAATCTTAAAGGTAAGATATTCTTACCCAAGTAATGATTTATAAAATGCATTTGTAGTTCATTGCTATAGTGAAAATATCCTTGGGGCATTCATTTATGAATAATACTTTTTTTTTTCTTAAGGCAGATGGATGATTTTAGAATAAGTATTTTATTAGGTATTGTGACTATCTTGACTTAATCGAGCCGCAAACTCTACTAGCGTTCTTGTAGGCCGCCCTGCCATGCCTTTTCGAAGATAGGGCACCTCATCTTTATTCGACATCACACCAGCTATGTCTAAATGAGCCCAGTGAGAGGCAGTCACAAATTCCTTCAGGAATGCAGCAGCTGTGCATGCTCCTCCAGCTCTGTGGGAAGCAGAAAAATTGTATTGTTTCTAAAGCAACACCAACAGCACAAACATTAAATGAATACACTGAAAGAAAGGGACACATGAAGGATATCGGTACGTCTTACCTGCTGTACTTTCCAATGTTACTCAGATCTGCAAGAGGACAGTCTGTTACTTGTTTTGTGTAATGTTCGAAAAGAGGCATTCTCCAAACTCTGTCCCCCGTCAAAATGCTGGCCTGAAAAAGAAACAGTGATAGAAGAAAAATTTGCCAAAACTTTTTTTTTTTTTTTAAAAACTGCATTTATAAGCCCCACTATCATGCATGCTTATTTTTGTTTAGCTTTGATCAGTCTAAAATTCTTCAGCCCAATATAATATTAGGTGTTTGGAAATACACTGCAAAACAAAACAGCGAATCCTACTCTTTAGGTACTTCAGTGTTATAGTCAAAAGCAAAAATCTAAAGACTGCTTTTTTTTTTTCTTTCTTTTTTTTTTCCCTGACAGCACAAATCCTTCCCTTCAGAGACTTCCTTCAGCCATCATGCTTCAGCCACTCACAAGGCCTCTCTGAATTTCTGTCTCAGTGTTATCAAGCAAGATCAATTATCTTTTTAACATGAACTAATTAGTGTCAGTAGTCCAGAGCTTATGCATATGCAGTAAGTTATCAGAAGATGCAGATCCTTGAGATGATGTGCATGCTGTTGGCTATAGGATATTAAACCTCACTAAAGAGCTAGTAATTAATAGTCAAAATTAATTATTTTCAATTAAATACAGTGTAACACCGTTCCTACGAGATTTCAAATTGTAATAACGTACCTTTTAGATTTGCATAAAGACTTTAATGCACTAACTTTTCAATAACAACAGCTATTACTGAATTATTATTATGATTTGATAATAATGCAGATGGGCTACCTCATAAAGGTGAGTCCAAAGCCAAGATGAGTTTGTGAACACTCCAGTCGCAGCAGACCCCAATGCAACATCCATGGCACCTACAGAACACACCTTCAAGGTTATACAGCAAAGGCAAATGCGGACCTGAGCTATTCCTCTGCATCCTGACTCCTCATAGAACTTTAAATTTTTAATTCCCATTATCAGTAATTTATAAAGTCTGCAAAACCTAAAGATTTTAGTACACTTGTATTTTTAAAAGTTTAAACTTTGTTAAAACATTTATATAATCTAATAGGACAAGAATTCATAAAAATCATATTCTGTATCTCATGAAACCAGACTTTCTGTTTTCAGCTTGATGTTTCTCTGCAACATTTCTAATACAATGTATTCAGAAATAACAGTGTCATCGCAAAAAAATACCTGAATTTTATTGTTTCCATATAGAAAATAAGTGAGTGGACTTTTTTCAATTTATAGACCTCTACAATTTTGAGCTGATACCTTCCCTTTTGTGAATTTCACTTGCATAGATTTTTGCACAGCATATGTGAATTTACTTTAAATGAAAATAATCCTTATCAAAATACTAAACCATGCTTAAACCAGAGGGATTACATACATATTTATTTATTTATTTGGTGCTACAGAACTGCTTCTCTAATGCCAACACTCAATTCTCAGTGATATTAAAAAAAAGAAGAAAAAAAAAGTAGTTTAGCAAAATAATATGTCAAAGAAATTTCTACAGGAGCTCTCCTCCTTCCTGCTTGGCACCCAAGGATCCCAAACACGGAATAATCTATAGTGGGAGTAAATGTCTTCTTCTATCATGCCTTTTATATGGGAATTATTTTATACAAGCCAGTGATCTTAAAATCGGCTTCCCTTCTGTCTATTGAAATTTTCCACAGCATTTGAACTGGTAAAACTGATGGAACATAATTTAAAGCACTAGTAGATAATCTATAGAAAAGACAATTATTTTGCTTAGCATACTCATTAAGCAATACAGTGGACTCCTGTCTGAACTACTCTTCCATGTTTGCTCTCATTTCAGTTACAGTCACTTCACCCATGACAGCTTGTTACTGCAGTTCACGAGATGCATACGCAATGCTGTTTTTAAATTTAAAATTATAACCTCATTCATACAGCACTGTGGAGATGAAACAATTAAAACACATTTTCTTATGCCTGAAAGTATGGAAACTGCACATAAAATAAGAGACACTTCAGTCAAACGAATTCCTGGGAAGATGGTAATGACTCTCTGTCCTGGTTTCGGCAGGGGCTCTCCTATGCTATTATTTAGAATCATGGAGACCTGAGCTAGCTCCCACAGTGAAGAACTGGTGCGGGGTACGTCAGAGCTCAGGCACTCAGGAAGCCGTTCACGAAGAAGTTATTTTGGCTCCAGCATGGCCAGTGCCATATGGACCTGGCAGGATTCTTCCACAGCCACGCCAGTATCTCTGCATCAGACAGCCCCGGGAACTGGAAAGGCTTAGCTCAGAAATGGAAGCACTGGGAAACACTGTGCAGAAACATCGAAGTCTGCGTAGGTTTTCCTGCTCTTAGTTCCAGCTCGTCTGGGCTGGCCCAAACTTCATCTACATTGCTGAGAACGTACCCTGCGTGGCAATACTCTCTCCAGTCCCATAGACACGGTGCAGCTGTACAAGCTGTTAGCACATAAACTGTGCTAGCTGTTGTCCTCCAACATGTAAAATCATCTCAGTTGCTTTCGAATTCAGGTTAGCTTTATATACGCAGTGCAACTAATCCACAGCCCAATTAATGAGAGTAACAAAGAACTGACTTGCAAAACGAGTGGAGAACCTGCTTACCTGTTAATGTTGCAGCATTCACAATAGCCCTTGCGTTAAAATTGTGGGCATAACAGAGAGCATCAGCTAACAGCAGTCTTCCTTCTGCATCTGTGTTATCCACCTTCAGGTGCAAAATTAGTAAAACAGATTAACTACTGAAAACATCCCTTTCACTGACTTATTTCTTACATATCTTAAATAGCTGTCAGATTGTAAATGCACTGTCACAGGCCCTAGGAACTTCAGGTAATCAAAATTTACTCAAACAAAAAAAAAAAGAGAGAAAAGATAGTATTGATACACAGTTATGTTTATAAAATAAAAGCATATCTGTCGCTGAGGTCAAGTCATCTTTCAGTGCTGCAACCTCCTCTGCATGCTGGGCCCCTGTGCTGCTGGCTCCTCAGAAGAGCCTGGAGGCTGGAGGGGTGCCCCAGTGGAGTGCAGGGGGCTGGTTACCATTCCCAGCAAAGCCCCAGGAATCCCAGGGGCTGCTTCTGAGCAAGCAGAGGTCTGGCCGATGGAAACCGCAAAGGAGGAGAGGGTACCACAAAGAAGCACTGACGCATGCCTAGAAACAGTTCCTTGTTATACCGCTTTCTCTTGGATCTTGAAAATTTCCCCTCAAAAAAAAAAAGAAAAAAAGAAAAAAAATCAATAGCCCCTTTGCTCCTTTCCCCTTTCAGGAAAAATTCATGATGAGTTCTCCAAGATTAATTGCATGATGTGCTCTGAGCTACTAGCACTTGCAGATTTCTCCTTGGCGGGGGAATATGTGCCCCCTCTTTTCCCTCAAAGCAGAGGGCAACTGAACTCAGTTTTGGGAGAACCTCAAGGAACTAGAAGGTTCAGCAAGTCAAAGGTGGCAGAATCACAGAAATCCAGAGAGAAATATTGATTAAGCCATCTACTTCTGCAGGAAATCAGTGGGCTACAGCACAATAACTTCCAGTACCATTTACTCTATTAGATGAATATGGAACAATTTGGATTAGATATGAAATACGTATTTTGGGTACTGATTTGGCAAGCTCCTTTGAACCAACAGTCCCTATGACTCAGAGTTCCGATTGTACAGAGCAGCTTGGCAGGGTAAAGACCTTGGTTAGATCGCAGGGGAGTGTCCTGAAGGGTCTGCTGGAAGCAATTAGTGTGTTATTCATTCTGACTGAGAACCTGTATTTATGAGCATTGTTAACAACCTCTTGTGCTAAAACATTTTCTAGGATGTTCAGTAAGTGACCATACTTTCCAGCTTTTCCTAGCAACTTATAAAACATGTCTAATATCTTCAATCTGTATTTATATTTGAAAGAATCCTATGATAGCAGTTTCTAATTAATAACATGCTTCTTACATTTTTAAAAA